TAGTTTATTATTTGGCCAAGTATAGACCCCAGTTTAGTCACTTTCCATTAAACAGTACTTCCATGTTATGGACATTAAATTCAGAGACCAATTTTTTGGAGACTAATTTCCTCAACAAACTTATTTTGCACAGTTTTGAAATTATAATTTGTACAGACATTCCTTATAGAGTAATTGCCTATCAGCAAAAAAGAAACTTTCCTTTCTTTAACAGAGACTGCCAATATTTTTGTTTTAAACTCTGTTATGGACAGTACAAAAAAAATCAACCTACAATTTAATGTGTTCACTTGATACTTTTTTTCCTGTGAATTGACTATTCAGAAAAAAATCTTTTAATAATAGTAAGAACAAAACTGCTTCTAAGCTTTTTAAAATCTAGTCACATCCCTTATTCTATGTTTGATTTGAGCTTGAGCTAAAAACTTGCTGTTATGGACATTACACAATTTTTGTTTCAGATATTACACTGTGAATAAGGGAATGTTTTTGTTTATTTATGAACTTTTGATAATTGACTTTGTCAGAACTGATAAATGCATTCTTAATCAGGCTCAATGCAAGTTAATTCTCTTTTCTGGTTGGGCTGATAACCATAACATTAATACTACAATTTGTGTGTACATGTGACTATGGTCTGTGGAGTATCCCATATAGAGCATACTCCTTACAATTCAGTTTTATTGAGCATGCTCTAACTAGTGTTTCTGCTGTCTTTTGGTTCTTTCTTTCTGAGATGTAATGCAGATTAGATTTCTAGTATGAGACCAAGTTTTACATTGGATAAGCCCTCAGCGTTGCTATTTGTCAGAGTACTATTCATTGACCCTTAACAAGCCAGTTGACACCATTTTGAATGTTACACTGCACTGAATTGTTTGAATTGACATTTTTCTCTGTGATATGAGGATGGTCAGTGCAATGGCCTTTTACTTGTTTTATGCTGCATTTCTGAAACATTACATGTTTTTTTTTACTTTGTTATCTTCAGATATTTTAAAAGAAGGTACTGACTCAAAACTGTATGTCTTTCGTTAAAAATAAATTCACCATTGGACTTACATGTTTTTGTAAATTTATACTCTTCATGTCACCATGGTGTTGCTACTGTTAATGTACATGGTTGTTGTTATGGTTATTGTTATTAGTGTTTAGTTAAAAGCACTGTAAACTTGGATGTGATAAACTTGAACAAAATTGGTTTGCATGTACTATTTATTTCTCCCAAAAGAATTAATATTGAAAGTCATTCAGTCATAATGTCCATAATGTAGTCCATAATGTCATGTCATAATGTAATGTCTGTAACATAATGTCCATAACATAATGTCTGTAACACAAAGTAGGCTTTATTTTTTCTGGTGTTTTTCTAAGATTTTAATAATTTGCAGCACTTAAGTTTGGGCCCCTAAACTTGAAAAAAGGAGTTAAGCTTTTTAAGGTTTTTATTTTCAGAGAAAATGACTGTTTCAGTGAATTATGTGATGTCCGTAACACAATTGTTACTTGCTTTCATTTTCAAAGTACATCCATTTTGGAAAAAATCTTATCTGGAGGTTCATCTTTGTGTTGAGTTCAATTAGTTTTGTTCCCCTGGTGAGATTTTGGGAACAAATGAGTCTAACTAAAATCATTTTAAATCTTACAGCATGCCAGCTATTTTCACACACTTTTCATTGGACAAAAATAAATAGCCTCTCTGTGCCATTTCTAGCAAAGTCAACTTTCAGATTACTATTTTTAAAACAATTTAGGGTTTCCTCATTCCAGATATCCATGATTGGGCTACAGTACCGTTCGAAGATAAGCGAACCACCTAACGCGTTGTCAACGCGTGGGCTCGAAGAAGTCAACGCGTTAGTGCTCTTTCGCTAACGCGTTAGCTAACGCGTTGATCATCGACCCGTATCGCCTTTGTTATTCACTTTGCCACCTCCAACCTTCTTTCTTTTGTATCCATTATTGACCAACTCAAAGGACGGCCTTCATCCGCAACTGAAAACCTTTTTGAATTTACGGAACTTTGGCGCGTGTTGACAAAATTGTCGGCGCGTGCTGACAAAAGAAAAATATTTGTATGCGTGAAGGGGCATCTGTGATACTTCTTAGAGGTGTAAAATAAATAAGGCTAGGGTCTGAAGTATTTCGAAGCAGTGCACTGATTTATGGCAAGCAAAACTACGACAATGATTTCATCACGCGAAGCAGGGACAGGCACTGCGATGACACGAATTCCGAATAAGCGGCGGTACGTAAACAAAGGATTGATCGATAGGAATAAATTTGGATCTGAATATTTCGAAGTTGTTCGCAAATTTCGCAAGCCATTTTTAACACGGCTAGAATTTCACTGCTAAAATAGCAAATAGATGAATCGATCAGAATGAAACTGTATACAACTATTTTTGAAGTTGATTGCCAAAGTACCGACAAGTACCGGGATGTTTAACGAATTTCGAGACAAGCGGCGACACGTAAACACAAGTAATAATTCATGGGATGCGAGTATTTCGAGGTTGTTCGCTAATTTACCTGGCTAGAATTTCATCGCTAGCGACAGCTGTCGATATGTTTGTCAAATTGAAAAGTCATGCGGCACATAAACACAGGATCAATCGAAAAGGATAAATTTGGATCCGAGAATTCGAAGTTGTTCGCAAACTTAATACCGCTAGAATTTCATTTATTTGGTAGCACAAGCGCCGCGACTTGTGATGAATATCGAGACATGCGGCACGTAAACATAAAATCGATCGACCAAAAAAAAAAAACAGTTTGGGATACAGGTGAACGAGAATTTCGAAAGTATTCACAAATTACAGGTTGTAAAATGAAATCGCTTGACTCTTAGTTCGGTTTTTTTTTTGTTTTTTTATCAGGAACAGATCTTTGGATAACGCTTATTATCGGGAATACACAGACACCGTGGAGATGCTAAGGCGAATGTGACAAAAAAGTCGGCTTTGTTTGGGCCTCTTGTTATGCAAAATGCTTTTAAAGTGTGATCTACTAATGAGCTTCACTAAACGCAAACGCGTTAAGTTCAAAACGCCAGCGCGTTGGCTCTGCGTGGGGAACGCGTTGAGTGGTTCGCTTATCTTCGAACGGTACTGTATATATGAAATATTTTCAATTTCACCATTTAAGCAGTTTTAAAATGGAATGGCCCAGTAGCAACTTTTTATTTGACAATCTTC